GTGTCTTCCTGTCCAAAGCCTTGTTCTCCTGAGGACGATGGGAGCCCGACTGGGTCGGTCCGTGGCACTTCTCACTGTTAAGTTTGTTTTGGGGTATATCCTCATTATCATCAATATTTAAAATACTTTTTTTTTGGGGGGGGTCTTTCAAGACAGGTCTTCTCTGTGTGGCTTTGGCTGTTCTGGACTTGCTTTGTAGACCAGGATGAACTCAAATTCATAATGATCTGCCTGCCTCTGCCTCCTGAGTGCTGGGATTACAGACGTGACAAATAATACCCCCCCCCCCCCAGGCATTACCTACTAAATCGTTAAAGATTTGGCAGCGAAATTGTAGGCTGAAAAAAAAAAAACCTCTCTGTGATACCGTGCACGACAAGTTCAAGTTCACCTGTGGCCAGAGTTGACGTCAGTGCACGCTTGCACACTGAGGAGGGAGGACAGGGAGAGACAAAGGAGAGAGTAAGTGCCGTGAGACAGCTAAAGCTCCTAGCCAAGCCAGGCATGGGCCCATGTCCAGGGACACAGCACATTCTCTGCTGTTCGGAGGCTGGCAGTCATTCGGGAACACAGATGAGGAAGTGAAAACTCTGAATCGGTGTGCTGAGGGCTCGGATGCAGGTATCACACATCCCGGCAAGCACACCTTGCTATGTCTTCCCCGATGGCTGGCTGGATAGGTGTGGCTCCATGATCCCAGGTCGTTGTGTTCTTTGACAGTCTGTGGCCTCTAAAAACGGGGTACACAGTGCTTTAGTGCATATGGAGAATTAATGAGACCTGAAAGCCTTCCCCCAGTGGGGACAGCTCAAAGCAACCAGGAGAACTCCACTGCCAAGGTACCGAGACATGGCTCATTGATAGTATCGTTCTCACAGGGGCCGGAGTTTGATTTCCAGCACCCACATCCAGTGGGTGTGACCAGCTCTGTGGGATACAGAGTTATTGGCTTCCTAAGGCATCCACGCCTGTGCACAAACCCTACACACACACACACACACACATACATATTTAAGCATAGCTGGAGAGATGGCTCAATGGTTAAGAACATTTGCTGGTCGAGAGTTTGGTTCCTAGCACCCACATCAGGTGACTCATGAAAACCTGTAACTCCAGATCCAGGGGATTTGATATTCCCTTCTGGCCTGTGGGTACCCATACATATAGCCACCCCCACAATATATAAAAAAAATAAAAAGGTTTCTTTGAGACAGGGGTTTACTTTGTATTCCTGGCTGTCCTGGAACTTCCTTTGTAGAACAGGTTGACCTTGAACTCACAGAGCTCCACCTGCCTCTGCCTCTGCCTCTGTCTCCCAAGTGCTGGGGTTAAAGATGTCTATCACCGTCCCCGAATAAAAATAATAAAATCTTAAAAACAAACCAACCAACCAACCAACCACTTCCAGGCACAGATGTGTGCAGGGCAGCAGAATCCTGAGATTCTTAAAGCCTGTCTTCCCCAGAGCTCTCCAGGAAGCTCTCTCACGCATCAACAAACGTGTAATCGAAATACAAGTCAGTAAAAAGTCCTGTCTATGTCTGGCCCTCTTGCCAGCATTTATGCCTCAGTTGGTCTGATAAATTCCAAGAGATTCATTTGTGGCAAGAAGTTAATTCCTTTATTTTAGGAAATGTAGGAGCCTGGTATGTTGCCACACACCTTTAACCTCAGCACGTGAGAGCCAAAGCAGGTGGTGAGCTACAAGCTTGATGCTAGATAGAGCGTGGTGTACAAAGTCAGCCACCCAGCCGGACGGTGGTGGTGCACGCTCAGCCTTCGGGAGGCAGAGGCAGGCGGATCTCTGTAAGTTTGAGGCCAGGCCGGTCTACAAAGTGAATTCAAGGACAGCCAGGCCTTCCGACCCTGTCTCGGCCCCCACCCCCAAAATAACCAAAGTAAATCAATTCTCCCCCTCGATACAAACAACCCCCTCCCAAACTGCACAGCCACACCCTGTTCCAGTCTCCTCACCCACTGAGCTATTTGAAGTGTTTTAATTTGACTTGAGTTTTAAAGAAAAAATTAGACGGAGTTCAAGTAGACTTGTGAGCAACTGATACACTTTGGTTTTAATAAATGACAGAATGCCAAGCCAAACCACAAAGGCAGAGAAGGGACTTGCTGGCCTGCTGACAGTCAGGATGCAGGAGAGGTCTGTCCCTGCAGCTTGAAGTGCAGGCCATTGCCACAGTGAGGGCTCTGAAGCTCATGCTCCTCCACTTGCTTCTGTGTCCCTGTACCAGTGTGGCCTCGGGTTTCTGGAATGGTTGCAACAGCTCCAGACCTCACATTCTCTTCAGACTTGGCACAGAAGAGGCAGGCTCCTCTCCTCTGGAGACTTGGGAGACAGCTTAGCTGGTGAAGTGCTTCAAATACAGGGATGAGGACCTGAGTTCAAATCCCCAGCACCCACATAAAGAAACAAAACAAAAACAATCAGCCAAACAAGACTGGGCCCAGTAGCACATACCTATAATCCCCAGCACCAGGGAGGCATGGAGAGACAGGAAGTTCCCTGGGGCTTGCTAGTGGGCAGCCTAGCTAATTGGTGAGCCCCAGTTTCAGTGAGACACCCTATCTAAAAAATGAGGTGGAGGGTGACCGAAGGTCTGACTGGACGTTGACCTACGCACGCACATGTGAATGGATACACATTTACTTGTGTGCACAGGGTCTTGTATTGGAGCTGGGTATGGTGGTGTTCTCCGACAATCTCAGCATTTGAGAGATAGACGTAGAAAAACTCTTGCTCTTGTTCGGGGTGATCCTGACCTATATACTGAGTTTTAGGCTAGGCAAGAATACCTTACTAGATCCTTCTCTAAATAAACAAAGCCAGGGGGCTGGAGAGGTTGCTCAGGGCTTCAGAGCGCTGGCTGACCTTCCAGAGGACCTGGGACACCCAGCACCCACAGGTTACCATAACCGCGTGTGATTCCAGTTTTGGGGGACCCAGAGCTCTCTCTGGCTTCTGTGGGCACCGGTACAGATGTGCAGCGTCCTTACTTAAACGCAGTCAAAACACTCATATATGTTGGCGCTAGTTTTTACATGTTATTGGTTTCTTGTTGCCCCTTCCTCCCTTCTCCACCCCAGTCGGGTTCCTTAGGGAAAGCCCCATCTTAAGACTATCTCCAACTTCGTGCCAAACTGTGTCCCCGGCAACCAGGAGCAGCAGGAGGGATGCATCAGCAGCCTTCTTTCTCAGAGTCTTTTTCTCCCTGGGCTCTGGCATTTATTGTCTCTCCAGAATCCTCAGTTTTAAACTATCTACACCTGGCAAAGAGCCCCTCTCAGAGCCCAGGCAAATAGTTTGCTGCTGTGGACCAGCTGAATCAGTCCCATATTCTACACCTTGGATCAAAACAAAAACATGTTTCTGTCTACAACACTTATAAGATCTAAAAAAATGGCTAGGTGTGGTGGCATACGCCTGTGATCCCAGCCCTCAGGGAGGCAGAGGCAGGCGGATCTCTTGTGAGTTCGAGGCCAGACTCGGCTACAACGCAGGTCCAGGCCAGCCAAGACTACACAGAGAAACCCTGTCTCGAAAAACCAAAAACAACATTGTTTTTCTGAACCAGGAGTGGTGAGTCTAAGTTCCAGGACAGCCAGGGCTACACAGAGAACCTGTCTCAAAAAACCAAAACTGAAAACCAAACCAAACCAAACCAAACAAACTCTTGGGCCTGAATCTCGTTGGCTTCCATTAGGTCTGTTAGACATCCCACGCTGATATGGGGGACTTGGGTGGAATCTCAGAGCAATTTAGAAGCTTAGGACAGTCAGAGTTCGGTCTATACCAGCTAAGGAAGAGAAAGGATAGTTTCCTGAAAGAAATGAGCACAGGATGTCGCCCCTGGCACCTCAGCTTTCCTTGTCCAGCTTCCTCAGCACCTACCAGTGGATGCTGAATCCCCCTCTCCCGGATCTTTATCTGTTAAATGTGGTGTTTGTGTCCCAACCCACCAGCTGCAGTGGGCAGGGGTGTGTGTGGTGCTTTCCCAGAGTCTGAGCTTGGTGAGAGTTTACAAACACCCTGACCGTGGCCCCGCCCACACCTCCTCCTCCTTTGATGTGGTGTGCATGACCCAGAGGTCAGTGTCTCTTCCTGATGCTTCTGACCTCCACCTCTGTGACTCATCTGCCTCATCTCTCTCCTCTGCCTCTTCCCTCTTCCTCATTGTCCTTCCTGCCTCATTTTCTCCCCCGGGGATCTGTCTGTTCTTCGTGGGGATCTCAATACCCACCCAGGTGGTCTCCTGGGAGCCCTCCCTACGGAGTACCAGCCCACTGTTCCCAAGGCTTCAAGGTCTCCTCAGGTGCCACAGGGCAGTGTGGAACATAGCTTCGTCCGACACTACTTTCCTGTACTCCCCATCCTGCTCTTTTGACCCCCTCATCTATCCCAGTGCTGTTAGTTGGACATGTGGGAGGTGTCCTGGTGGGGTACCCCTCCCCAACAGCAGCTACTACTTTGAAATGGCTCTGATATGCCTGGGGCAGATATGACTGGACAGCCCAGTAGTATGAGGCCAGCTTGGACTTCATGTCATCCTGTCTTAACAAAAACAACCTACAAGCAAAGAAAAAAGAAACACCCAGGTCTGGTGGTATATACTTTTAATCTAGGCACTCAGTAGGCAGAGGGAGAAGCAGGCAGATCTCTGTGATTTGAGGGCCACTTTGGCCTACACATTGAGTTCCAAGATAACCAGGGCTACATAATGAGACAATACCACCACCAGCAATAACACACACACACACACACACACACACACCACCACCACCACCACCACCACCACCACCATGCTTAACTCAAAATATTTATTTTACTTTTTTTTTTGAGACAGGTTTCTATTGTAGATCAGGCTGGACTCAGAGAACTCAGAGATCCACCTGCCTCTGCCTGCTGAGTGGTGGGATTAGTGGCTGTGCCACCACCACCCAGTGGCTCAAAGACATTTAAATGAAATTTACAAAAATTATGGAGCGTTCCCTCTTTTCATTGGGTACAGCAGTAGGTGTGGGACAGGGGCACAAAGCTCACTGGTGGGGGTGGGGAGATAATCCAGTGGGTAAAGTATTTGCTGTGCAAACAAGAGGACCAGGGTTCAAATCCCCAGGACCCATGTAAATGCCAGGCAGCTGTGATAGCCTCCGTGTAATCCTCGGCAAGTGGAGACAGGGGTTCCCCAGAGCAAGCTAGCTAGACAGGTGAAGCAGCAAGCTCTGGGTTCTAGTGTAACCTGCTTTTTACATACAAGGTTGGAAATACTCTAAATTAACCTCTACTTCCACATGGACGTACACCATGCACATACACCTGGGGGGAGAAAAGATTGTCCACGTGACATTCCCTACCATTGGCAATCCCTGGGACTTTCCCAGGGGTTTGATAAAATATTTTATGTTGAATTTTCTCTTGGGTACCACCCAGACCATTTCAAGTTATCTAATGAGAACTTTTCATGCTATCTTCGTGGCCCTGAACTTTGTCTCCAATTTACACACGTAATTCTGGCTCTCTTTGGCTGCGCACAGTGGCAGGCTCTTCAGGCCTTGCAAGGTTACCTGTCTCTGCTAAGCCCTTCAGAGCATGGGCTAGGCTGATGCTCTGGGCATCCACGGTACCTCCCATACTATCTACAATGGCCTTTCCACTTGGCCGGGTAATTGCCTGTTTTTGTATCTGTCTTCTACACTTGAGGACAAGCAGATCCTGGTAGAATTCAATAGCTGTTTGTGGAGTGAATCACCAAGCAAATGCGGAGGGCCTGGGAGTTCAACCCAGCTCTGTGTCCAGTGAAGTCCCGGGACAAATTCCTAACACTCTGTCTCCAGAATGTTCCAGCCCTCCAGCCTTGAGGCTGGGGTTCTGTCACACAAAGCCTTCTTGTCCACTGAGGGTAATAAGTCTTCTATAGGCCATGTCTCTCCCCTGGAATGCCTTAGACACAGCATCAATGGTCCCCAAGTCCACACACTGACCTAGACTATGCACTTATGCTAAATATTATCCAGGAGGAAAGCCTTTTTTTTTTTTTTTTTTTTAAATAATATTAACTTCTGGCTGTTAGGGTCTGAAAATCCAAACCAACCCAAGCAGGCACAAGAGACCACGCAAAGCAAGTTCATTGTTTGAAGCAGGCAGGCAGCAAAAACTGAGCAGCCAGGGACAGCAGCACAGGCCTCAGGAGCTGCTTGTGTCTGTGAATGTTCATCTCAGTATTTAAGCAGAAAAGTCACAGAATCCACAAACACCTGTGCTGAGATACAGTTACACAGTGTCACCAATCATTTGTTCTTTCATGGTTAGGAACAACAAAAGGAGGAGGAAGTTGATTAGCCATCTGGAAAGCTCCCCTAGAGCCTGGGAACTTGAACTTAATTTTACCTTCCGATCAAAATGGAGTCTGAAAACAAAATGGCAGTACTTAGGATAAATCTTATTTGTTTGATCCCAATATGGCTTGCCTGGCTTTCTGAAGACTATGCATGCTCCCCAGGACCCTAGCTTTCTGGAAGGTCACGAGGGACACAGCCAGGCCCTCTTGCACACAAGTCTTCATCAACCAATCAAACATTCTCCAACTATCATCACCATCCTTGAATCAACCTCTCTCTAAACTCTCTTTCCTCTCTCAGTACTGAGGATTGAATCCAGGGCCTCACACAAGTAATCCACCATTGGGCTGCATCTTCAGCCCTCTTTCACTTACTGTTTTTAGTTTAATTAGCTGGTTATTTTATTTTAGACAGGGACTCAACATGTAACCTTGGATGACCTGGAAATCAGAGATGGACCTGCCTCTGCCTCCTGTATGCTGCCCTGGTTGAGTTCCTGTCCTGGTTAAGGGCAGGCATCACCTTGCCTTGCTTACTCCTTTAATTTGGGACAGGCTCTCACACCCTGGTTGGCCTGGAACTCACAGAGCTCCACCTGCCTCTTGAGTTCTGGGATTAAAGATGGGCGCTACCGTGCCTGGCTTCCCTTCTTTATTTTGAGGCAGTGTCCTATTTATGTAGCCCAGGCTGACCCTAAAGTTGTGATCCTCCTGCCTCAGTTTCCCAACTGGCTGGGATTGCAGGCCCTGCATCTCTTGACCAGTCCAGCAAGTGTCCTTCTATGCTGGCTGGTTTTGTGTCAAACTTAACACAAGCTAGAGTCATCAGAGAGGAAGGTACCTCAACCAAGAAAATTCCCTTCATAACTCATGCTGTAGGCAAGCCTGTGGGATAATTTAATTAGGGATTGATATGGGAGGACCCTGCCCATTGTGAGGGTGGAGCCATCCTTGGGCTTTGTGGTCTTGAGTTCTATAGGAAAGCAGGTCTAACAGGCCATGTGGAGCAAGCCAGACTCCTTCATGGAGCTCTGCATCAGC